TTTCGAGCAAGGGAGGAGAGAAAGAACAGACTCGAACAGCTGGAACTTCCCAGGGGGGTAGGGAAAAGTGAGATGCTACATGTACATAGAAAGGTGGTAGTTGAAGAGAAGACAAGAGCGAATGAAGGCGAAGAGAGAAGGGACGGAGTAAGCAGGGGCGGCGAACAAATAAAGAATGTCTACTAATATCAGTGACCATTCTATAAATGGAAGGATTGCGGAGATCATGAGAGCGTACATAGTAGCGCAGGCAATGGGCATCACGGCGATCGGATAAGGATGGAACGTTCGCTTCTGCATAGAGGCTTTCGACAGGGGAAGAGCGAAAAGCACCAAGGCATAAACGTAATCCTTGGTGATGAATGGGGTTAAGGCTAGAGAGAGTAGCAGGAGATGCCGCTGAATAGATCTGGTCACCATAATCAAGTTTCGATAAAATAAGGGTGGAATGTAGGTGAAGGAGGGTTCGACGATCAGCTCCCCACGAAAGATGAGCAAGGGTTTTAAGAAGGTTCAGCCGGCTGTGACAAGTTGCCTTCAGAGAGGTAATGTGAGGTTTCCAGGATAACCTACGATCAAAGAGGAGGCCCAGAAACTTGACTGTATCACGTTCAGGGATACGTGAGCCATAGAGGTACAAAGGATGATCGGAGATGACAGAGCGTCTAGTGAAAGTGATTTGGTGGGTTTTAGTGCTGGAAAATTTAAACCCATGTGTGGTGGCCCAATTGGAAACACGGTCGACTGCATGCTGGAGAGAAACTGTAAGGAGGTGACAGTCAGCGCCTGCACAGGCAATAGCGAAGTCATCAACATAGAGTGATGACCAAATATTTGATGGAAGACTAGAGGCCAAATCATTAATAGCAAGGAGAAAAAGTGTTGTGCTCAGAACACATCCCTGGGGGACACCTTCAGCTTGGATAAAGTCCGGGGAGAGCACATTATTAACCCGAACACGGAAATGCCTGTCAGTTAAAAAGTTCTTAAGGAAGGATGGTGGATTGCCTCGAAGGCCTAAGGAGTGGGCTTGGGCTAAAATATTATACCTCCAAGTTGTGTCATATGCCTTCTCAAGGTCAAAAAATATGGCAATAACTGAGTGGTTATTCGCAAAGGCATTACGAACATACGTATCCAAGCGCAGTAAGGGGTCTATGGTAGAACGTCCCTTACGAAAGCCATATTGACGAGTGGAGAGACTGTTGTGTGTCTCTAAATACCACACTAAACGTCTATTTACTAGACGTTCCATTACTTTGCAAACTGCACTGGTAAGAGCAATGGGACGATAGTGGGAGTTACCTAGTGTTAGTTTTAAGAATTATCTACTGCATTTAGTTCATGAAATCTGTATTTCACCTGTACACTAACATCAAGAATACGTTAATCCTTAAAAATGGGGATTAAAGCAAATTCAGTGTACAAAGGGTGTGGGGCGCCACACTGGTGCGGCGAGAGGATGGCAAGTGTGGCAGGTAGATTCAAAGACAAAGAAACATTTAAGCATTCATGTATAGATACCCATAGAGGTTTCTGGGTTTCATGCCATCTCTCTCGCTCTGTTATGTTCAGGTAAGGACGAGCCTCAAAGAAGCAAATAGTGATCTTTCTTTCTGCATTAACGCACCGCTAATATATTCCATTACCTCTTACATATGTAAGTACATATATAAGTGCATATATTTTCGGAATGACTCGTGTTTTTCTGTAGCTGCATTGTTTTAAACTTTCTGGATGTCCTATGATCATAGTATATAGCAGTTATGTTCTGTGTTATGAATCAAGCAATGCTGCGAGTTTTTGTTTTTTAATGTATTTCTTATCAATAAAAAATTCGGTGTGGCGTGAGCAAATTTTTATTCCGAAGTGTAGCCCTGAGAAAAAAAAGTCTGGGAACCATTGCACTAAGATATACAAGTGGATTAGTGCATATACAGTGAGATGCACCTGGATCTCTCTTAGCTCCATCATCCATGGACTGCTTCTTTAACCTTAACGGAATTTTGTCCATTGTTCTGAAGTTGTACTAGTGGAAAACGTATTGTTCAGGAGTTTTAGCAACTGCTATGTTTAGAAACTGGGACACCTGTGCACAAGTGTTATTAACATTTGCGAGGGAAGGTCCACAAGTGTGGGACCGTTCACCTACATTCTTCACAATAGTGTGTATCTCTCTCCTCCTTTCACCTTCCTTCGAATTTTTTCCCCTTATCACATATACACTGTATACTTGTATAAAACTATAAACCGGCGTGGATCATTCAGGTAAGGAGTGGTAATGGCTGGATCCTCCAACCGCTAATATTGAGAAGCACAACTGACAGTGTTTCCCTCAGGGAAGGTTAGAAGCCAAAATGATGTGTTAACAGAATTACCTTCAACATAACCTATGATGAATAAACAGAATTCTGGACGAAAACTCGAACCGTGATCCATGCACATAGTAGGTCCAACACAGTAATCCCTCAGCCCTAGAGCTTACAATAGGAAGGTTTTACAATAAGCAATTCTCTGACTTGGTTGTATCAGCGGCACCAGCTGTGATCCTACTGTCTAATTCCACAGCCTTAGAAGCTTTCAAAGTAGATATATTCTCATATCACTCAAAGACATATATAATAGTGTGATGAATGGTTTGAAAAACGACAAGTTGAAGATTGAGACACTTATGCAGCATAAGTGTCTCAATCTTCAACATATATAATAGTTCATAAACCCAAAATAGCTTTGAGTCCCCGTCCATTATTCTATTTATTCATTAGCAGTCTTTCATTACTACTTATGTTGGGTTTATGGACTATATGGCTTTGAGGGGTACAAGAATAGCTGGACTTTGAGAGAGAGGCTGTGAGGGCGAGACAGTAGATCCATAGCTGCTGTTGCTGCTGCTGATGCAACTAAGTCAAAGTGCTGGCTGTAAAACCTTGCTTTTCTAAGCCCTGTGGCCGAGTCGTTGCAGTACTGGGCTTGATAAATTAGACACATGTGCAACTCTTGGGTATCTTTATTGAGGAAACGTTTCGCCACACAGTGGCTTCATCAGTCCATACAAAGGAGAATCTTGAACAGGAGGAGAATGAGGTAATTATTCTATTCAAGATTGATGGACTGACCACATCGACTCAAGGTTGAGGGACTGATTACCTCATTCTCCTCCTGTTCTTCAAGATTCTCCTTTGTATGGACTGATGAAGCCACTGTGTGGCGAAACGTTTCCTCAATAAAAATACCCAAGAGTTACACATGTGTCTAATTTATCAACATGTCGGTTCTCTGAACCATTCATCTACAAAGTACTGGGCTTGTTATGTGCAAGGACCACGGTTCGAGTCCCCATCCAGTATTCTGTTAAATCAATGAGAGTCATTCATTAAGAAAGACTCACACTGGGTTCATGATCAATAATGTTGATGGGTCAGTGAAGTGCTCACAGTGTGCCTTAAATACACACTACCATGGTAACACGAGTTTTGAGGGACACCAAACCCCGGCTGAATTAGCTGGATTATCATATTTACGTTAAGTGTTAATCCCATGTGGGTTATTCATCTGCAAGGAGTGGTTTGATTAGGTGGAATCATTGTTTTAAGTTGTGTGTGACTGCTAGTAACCTCGGCTCCGCCAACTACACGTCGGACGATCAACGTCATCATAGTAACGTCACAAGACTCATCAGGTGTATCAGGCATAACCAACAACCTGGCTGGCCAGAAACCAGGCAAGGGCTACCGGAAGAAGACTGGAGCCTTAATTCCTCCTTGCTAAGAATGACCCATATGAGTTTTCAACGTTATAATATACATGATGATAATATTCTGCGGGTGACAGTGGCGGTGTTGGACGCACCCGCTGCAGCACCCTGTGTGAGAGTGAAGCTCACGTGGTCACAGTGCACAAGATACATGTGCAACATCTGCAAAAGTTTTGCAACATGGGTGACGCTGATGAAAGGCTGCCTCTGTCTCGTAAGCATCTTAAGCGAAGCTCTAACCAACATTCACGTTTCTCTCACTAACAATGAAAGACGGGTATTGGAGGGGAAAGTGACCCTTGGAGAGTGACTCTACCTGTATGGGAGAGAGGGGGCACACTGAGTCCTGGAAGGTAACCTTACCTGTATGGTGGGGAGGGAGGAGGTAGTGAGCCCTGGAAGGTAATCTTACCTGTATGGTGGGGAGGGAGGGGGCAGTGATTCCTGGAGGGTAACCTTACCCGTATGGTGGGGAGGGAGGGGGTAGTGAGCCCTGGAAGGTAACCTTACCTGTATGGTGAAGACGGAGGGGGGAAGTGAGCCCTGGAAGGTAACCTTACCTGTATGGTGGGGAGGGAAGGGGTAGTGAGCCCTGGAAGGTAATCTTACCTGTATGGTGGGGAGGGAGAGGGGTAGTGAGCCCTGGAAGGTAACCTTACCCGTACGTTACTCTAGGAGCCTAGGGAAGGATGGTGAAGAGAAACTGGAGTGGGACCTTACCTGTATGGTGGGGAGGCAGTAGGAGGGGAGGCAGCGTGGTGGGGAGACAGTGGGAGGGGAGGCCGCGTGGTGGGAAGACGGTAGGTGAGGAGAGTAACTCTGGGAGACCCCCCTATAAAGTGGGGGACCTTATCTGTGTGGTGGGAAGGAAGGAGCAGTTTGAGTCCTGAACGGTGAGGGGGGGGGGGGAAGGCGACCTTATATCTGTAAAGGAGAGGAAGGGGAAGAGTGTGCACTGGAAGTGGGGAGTGGAAGAATGAGTCCTGGAGGAGGGAAGAGAAGAGTAAGCCCCGAGGTGGGAAGGGGAAGAGTAGGGAGTATAAGAATGAGCCCGGGAGGGTGGTGGGGAGGGGGAGAGTGAGCCCTGGAGGGTGGTGAGGAGGGGAGAGTGTGAGCCCTGGAGGGTGGTTTGGAGGGGGAGTGAGCCCTGGAGGGAGGAGGGGAGTATAAATGAGCCCTGGAGGGAGGAGGGGAGTATAAGTGAGCCCTGGAGGGAGGTGGGGAGTATAAGTGGGGAGGACCTTACCTGCGTGCTCTGGGTGGAGGATGATGGGGATGAGGACATTCTCGTAAGGCGAGCCCAGTTCCGAGGGCGTGGGGATGGGCGGCAGGGAGGGCGGCGGAGGCGGCCAGATGGGCGGCGGCCACGAGGGCGGCTCACCAGCACCTTCCTCACCCTCGTCTTCCTCCAAGTTGATGAGCTGGTTGTGGCCTGTGTACCGTGGTCCAGTGTACCAGTAGTGTAGACCCGTGGTGGAATGTACCAGTGGTCCAGTGTACCAGTAGTGTAGACCCGTGGTGGAATGTACCAGTGGTCCAGTGTACCAGTAGTGTAGACCCGTGGTGGAATGTACCAGTGGTCCAGTGTACCAGTAGTGTAGACCCGTGGTGGAATGTACCAGTGGTCCAGTGTACCAGTAGTGTAGACCCGTGGTGGAATGTACCAGTGGTCCAGTGGAGTGTACCAGTGGTCCAGCGTATCAGTGGTGAAGTGCACCAGTGGTCCAGTATTGGTACCAGTGGTGGAGTGTACCAGTGTATCAGTGAAGTGTACCAGTGGTCCAGTGTACCAGTAGTGTATCAGTGGTGGTGTGTACCAGTCGTGTTTTCCAGCGGTTTGTACCAGAATAATGTACCAGTGTGTACCAGTTGTGGTACCAGTTGTGTGTACCAGTGGTGGTGTGTACCAGTGATGGTGATGTGTACGAAAGGTGGTAGTATGTTTTGGTGTAGCAGTATAGTGTTGTGGTGGCAGTGTATTATGATGTGGTGACAGCGTAATGGTGGTAGTGTGTGGTGGTGGTAATATGTTGTAGTGTGATGTGGTGAGGATGTAGTGTGTTGGTGTTGTGTAGTAGTGTAGTTATAATGTTGTGGTGTGGTTATAGTGAGTTGTGGTTATAGCGTGTTGTGGTGGTGATATGCAGTCGGGTAAGTGTATGTGGTGGTGTATTGTTAGTATGTTGGCGTGGAGGTAACAATAGCACAGAGGTGGTTATGAGTGAGGGTGTGTAGGTGGGGTGGAGGTAACACATAACACGTGGGGTTGTGTAGGTGAGGTGGAGGTACACACAACACGGGGTGTAGTGGGTGGAGGTAACACACAACACGTGGGGATGTGTAGGTGGGGTGGAGGTAACACACAACACGTGGGGATGTGTAGGTGGGGTGGAGGTAACACATAACGTGGGGTTGTGTAGGTGGGGTGGAGGTAACACACAACACGTGGGGATGTGTAGGTGGGGTGGAGGTAACACACAACACGTGGGGATGTGTAGGTGGGGTGGAGGTAACACACAACACGTGGGGTTGTGTAGGTGAGGTGGAGGTAACACACAAACGTGGGGTTGTGTAGGTGGGGTGGAGGTAACAACAACACGTGGGATGTGTAGGTGGAGGTGGAGGTAAACACAACACGTGGGGATGTGTAGGTGGGGTGGAGGTAACACACAACACGTGGGGATGTGTAGGTGGGGTGGAGGTAACACACAACACGTGGGGATGTGTAGGTGGGGTGGAGGTAACACACAACACGTGGGGATGTGTAGGTGGGGTGGAGGTAACACACAACACGTGGGTTGTGTAGGTGAGGTGGAGGTAACACACAACACGTGGGGTTGTGTGAGGTGGAGGTAACACATAACGTGGGGTTGTGTAGGTGGGGTGGAGGTAACACACAACACGTGGGGTTGTGTAGGTGGGGTGGAGGTAACACACAACACGTGGGGTTATGTAGGTGGGGTGGAGGTAACACACAACACGTAGGGTTGTGTAGGTGAGGTGGAGGTAACACACAACACGTGGGGTTGTGTAGGTCGGGTGGAGGTAACAACACGTGAGGTTGTATGAATGTTGTGTGGTGGGGCGGAGGTAAACACGTGGGTGTTAGTGATGAGAACTTGGGTGGTGTTGGGGTGGAGGTAACACGTGGGGTTATGAATGTTGTGGGTGGGGTGGAGGTAACAACACGTGGGGTTGTATGAACGTTGTGGGTGGGATGGAGGTAGCACGTGGGGGTTGTATGAATGTTGTGGGTGGGGTGGAGGTAGCACGCGGGGTTGTATGAATGTTGTGGGTGGGGTGGAGGTAGCACGCGGGGTTGTATGAATGTTGTGGGTGGGGTGGAGGTAACAACACGTGGGGTTGTATGAACGTTGTGGGTGGGATGGAGGTAGCACGTGGGGGTTGTATGAATGTTTGGGTGGGGTGGAGGTAGCACGCGGGGTTGTATGATGTTGTGGGTGGGTGGAGTAACAACACGTGGGGTTGTATGAATGTTGTGGGTGGGGTGGAGGTAACACGTGGGGTTGTATGAATGTTGTGGGCGGGTGGAGGTAAGACGGTGATAGTCATGAGTAAGGTTGACGAATGGTAGGAACACCAGGAGCAGGGAAGTTGCCACGTGCGGGTCGTCGTAGGGTAAATAAGGGAGAATTAACAACGTGTCAGGTGGTCATTGGAAGGTACAGCTGAGGATGTAGTTTGATAGTGTCAGTAATGCGGGAGTGTGCGTAGTTTGAGGTATATGGAAACATTTAAGTTAATAAATGGGCGTTTTAAAACGTTCATGACGTCAAGGTTCTCGTTGTATGTGCGCGGGTGCGTGGAATTTGTTTGTTGGTAGTGTACGTGGATGATTGTTACGGTGATATTCAGATGAGCGCGAGTTTTTGTATAGATGGTGATGTTTGTAGAGTACGGGTGTGTGTGGTATTTAAGTTTACAGAGTAGGTGTATGTGAGTTATCCCAGTTTACAGAGTAGGTGTATGTGAGTTATCCCAGTTTACAGTATGTGTGTGTGTGTGTGTGTATTACTCAAGCGTACACAATATGTTTACGTTAGCCCAGTGTACAGAATACAAGTTACAAGAGTATACAGAATACGTACAGTACCCAAGTGTAGTGTGTACGTTGCCCAAGTGTACAGAGTATGTACGGAGGGAAGGGGCCGAGGAAGAGGTGGAGGAAAGGGAAGGAAAGCCAAGGTAAATATTAAGTAATCACCTAAGAGAGAATTACATGCATGAGGACAAAAAAAAATAAGCATATGAATACAACTGAAATAAATCATAATACAAGCGTCATTCCATAGCAACTATATGAAGATTTACATACTGCACGTGGCCACAGAGACAAGCCAGGCTGAGGAACCATTACTTTACAGCTAATGTACTGGTGCTACTGTACTTGTGCACGATACTTGCTGGATCACACCAGTACTGGTGATACAGCTACTCAAGACAACACTTGTACCTGATACTTGCTGGATCACACCAGTACTGGTAATACAGCTACTCAAGACAACACTTGTACCTGATACTTGCTGGATCACACCAGTACTGGTGATACAGCTATTCAAGACAACACTTGTACTTGATACTTGCTGGATCACACCAGTACTGGTGATACAGCTACTCAAGACAACACTTGTACCTGATACTTGCTTGATCACACCAGTACTGGTGATACAGCTACTCAAGACAACACTTGTACCTGATACTTGTGATCACACCAGTACTGGTGATACAGCTATTCAAGACAACACTTGTACCTGATACTTGCTGGATCACACCAGTATTGGTGATACAGATATCAAAGACTAACACATGTGCATGGTATCTATTGAACCACACCTGCACGGTGTCTACCGCCTGCTTTAAACCCACAGCTTGCCCACTAGGCTAATTTTGCTATGACTGCTTGGTATCTGGACACACACAGGAACAAGCCTTTAACTGGCCTACGTTTTCCTTTTCAAAATCTGTTCTACAAGTGAAACGTTGTGTAAAGAAAGGTCCGTTCTGCTGGCTTATTGCCCAGTCACCCGTGCGCGTTACCGCTCTTCACACACTCCACTGTTTTGCCAAACATACCGATTCTGTTCGTTTGTAATACATAACTGCATACTATTGCTATATAACTATATATTCATTGTTAATGCATAACTGTGTATTCACTGTTATTTGAGTTAGTTATCTTCCTCTCAGCCTGAACCAGTCTGGATATTCACCTTTGACCTCTTTCGCCCACAGAACTGCCGCTCACTGGATGTTTTGTGTTTTTCACATTCTCTGCAAACTCTTTAAAAAGTGTTGTGCATGAAAATCCGAGATCGGCAGTTCCTGAGGTACTCAAACTACCCCGTCTAGCACCAACAATCAGTCCATGGTCAAAGTCACTTAAATCACACTTCACATTTCTTCCCAATTCTGATGATCTGGTCTGATCAACAAGTGCCTGCATGCTCTTGCGCAATGAAGTGCTGCCACGTGATTGGCCGATTAGATATTTGCATTAACGAGCAGGTGATGTACAGGTGTACCTAATAAAGTGTCCACCGAGTGTATATCTTAAAGCAACTTGAATCTAATAATTTTATATACACAATTATTACACAAACACGCGTGGTAGCGAAGTAAAGATGATAATGAGTCCATCAAGCTTGGAGAAGTGTCCAGCTCCATGGACTGATTACATCATATTTAGTGCGCTACCACACCTGCTGCCTTTGTACTTGACTGAAGAAGTTTACCATGTAGGCGAAACATCTCAACAATAAAGATATACTCAACTTTTGCACATGTGACTTACTTATCAACTTGTCGGTATTGTATACCATTTTCCACCAACCTTCATGTTATGGCTCCCGGTGGACAGAGAACATTGTGTATCAACTTGCTTTAAGGTAAACTTAACGAGACACATGTTGTGGTTGTCTTTGTGACCTGTGTTCTGCAATACAAAAATTCACCCCAATTGAAATCTATCTTAATATATCTTCCGAGAACACATTACGATATATGGATGAATTTACAAAACACGAACAATTACTGAAGAACATTTTTTCCATTAACCTTTTGACATTTATAACGTATCTTTGACATTTATAACGTATTTTTGACATTTATAACGAATCTTTCACATTTATAACGTATCTTTGACATTTATAACGTATCTTTCACATTTATAACGTATCTTTCACATTTATAACGTATCTTTGACATTTATAACGTATCTTTCACATT